AAGAGTCCTCTCTTCGCATTAGGTGACCAAAGTATCTGAGCTTGAGCTTCATTATCAAGTAAGCAGCTTAACACACAACAAATGCGAGTGTTCCAATAACATTCGCATCACTGTAGTTTCTGGTTAGTTAAGATGTAAACGGTACTTAGCCATATTAAGGCATTATACCTGACCACTGCACAGAAACATATATCAGATGTATGGGCCCACATATGCAGTGTCCTCATATGCATGCCATCTAATGTTGAGTGAGGTCTATAGGAGGCTTCTACTTGCAGTTGCTTGTAAATAAGTAGAGCACACAAGAATAATTGGTTTAACAGATGAAAGTAGAATAACAATAGCCATGTTCACTACTTGTCAGGCACAGGAAGACCTAACACAGGGGTCTACCTATGCCTGACAAGTTCCCACAAGAATCAAACCAGCTGTATAGTGCCTCCTAGTGGTCAGTAGTGAACCTAACCACTGTGATACAAAATGATTAACCTCCCTTTGGAGGAAAGGTCTTGAGGCTTCTTGTATGAGGCCCAGACAAATTAACCCCTGTAGTTCTCTAGCCTGAGAGTGCTAACAAATAAGAAAGGCAAGTGTACCATTCATAATATCAAAAGTAGAAACACTCAGGAGATGATGGACTTTCCTCAGGAAGTATTTAAACTGAGACAGTCTATTGGCTATGATATTGGCACCTGGTAGCAAACTAGATGATTTCCAACCATTCCCTTCTATAATTCTATGCATCTAGATTACAAGTATCTGGAATGTTTGAATCTAGTTTGAGTTACTCTTGAAAACAGAAAGACCCCACCCTGCAACTTACCCTGCCAAATCCGTCCTCCATTGATCAATACTTCAACAGGGAAAGTTGGGTGACTGGGCTGATAACAGTGCAGGATGAAGGCGTAGCGTCCTGGACTCTGAATATGGCCACTTAACACAACAGCTGTCTGCAAGAAAGCACAGGAGAAAATCCCTAGTCTATGGTTTTTGGGTCTCTACTTTCTATTTCAAGACACCCTTATGGTTCCAGAGTGGGCCATCTGTCTCAGCATTCATGTCAACATTGGACTTTCCAAGAAACTGATTAGGGATAAGAGTTGCTGCTAACTTATATTTAGTTTTACCCTACAGGTATCTCTAGGAAACAGAAAACACCTATGTCAGTTGCTGAGAACATGTGCTAACAGTTGTGTGCTCTGTCAGAAATGTTGCCATTTATTTTATTCTCACCTTCAACATCCCTACTTTGCCTGGTCCATTGGAAAATATGTCTCAGAATCAGAAGGTTTGCAGTAGATGAGATCTATTGCTTATAAGCTCTTTCCCTATTTTCCCCAGCTTTGATAAACTGCCACTCATTTTAGTAGACCCTCCAGGACCAGAAATTCTGCTTCCCGGTTCAGCGAGAAAAAGAGATTCACACATCCTCGCTTGTTGCTAACTGCTTAAGAAGAAGAATAAACACTGTGAGACTGTGAGATCTTGGGGATGCTCTCTGCCTGTAAAAAAGGAAATTTCATGCTGATGATGTATGTCTTGAGGAGTCATTCAAAGCCTGACACTAACTCAGTGTTTCTCAACCTCCTCAACTTTAAGATGGATGGACTTCAACTCCCAGAATTCCTCAGCCAGCATGCTGGCTAAGGAATTCTGGGAGTTGAAGTCCATCCGTCTTAAAGTTGAGGAGGTTGAAAAACACTGCTCTAATTGAAGAGAAGGAGAAACAGACAGACACTGTCCACGCATTGTACATCATCAAGTTTCAGGAGAAAGAGACTTTTTATCCTCCATATATAAAACGTAGTTTGCTCTTCAGTTTCATTCTATTCAAATGAAAGATCTGCTCAACCATTTTCTACTAATGCTTTTTACAACATAGAGTAACTGGCCCCTGATTCCTATGGCTAGCCATTAATTGCACTGCTTTATACTGCACTTGCAAAACTTTTCTCTAAACACTTCTGTTTAAAGACATTTCTGTTTAAAGAAAACTTTTCTCTGAACGCTTCTGGCAATGGGAAAACACTAGAGAACCAACCTGAGTTACAACATGTTTATTCCCATAGAGACCTTCAAGAATGAAAAGTCGACTACAACAAAGGACTAAAAAACTAAAAATAAAATCAAGCTTGCAATTTACGTATCACCTCTCCACACCCCAGCGGCATGTCCCAAACCGTACCTACCTGGGGAGCCCTTAAGAAAATGAGTTCTGCAGAGGAGTCAATCAAAGTTGGAGGGTGAGGTGGAGAAGCTGGGGGACTGCCTTCTGGTGGGATACTAAAAGCATGAATTAGGGGGAAGTCTGGAGCAATGAGTAGTAACTGTCCTTCCTCCAGGACAACTGATTGCGAAATCTTCTGATATCTGGATGGGATACAGGAACTACTGTGGACAAAAAACAAATAATAGGCGTTCTACAGTCCAAAAAAAAAAAAATGCCAGCTATTCCATCAGAACATTGCAAGCAAAGGAACATTAAGGATGACTATAGTGCAAAGCAAAATATCAAGAGGTTGACTTTATTAAGGGCAGTTCCATTATGATTCCTTTGATCTTCTCTGGATCTCTTCTGTCTTCCCCTATTCCAAGTAATTCTTAACTGTAATCAATACCATCTGTACTCTGAGACCTTCTGGCTCTGAGATGCAAAACAAGGGAACAAGGGATTTGTGATTATTTCACATCCTCTCCTATGGCCAGAACAACTTGAATGTTCCGTTTTGTTCCAAGATTGAAACAAAACACATCTTTTCACTTCGTGAACACTCCAAGCAATACTGTTTTAAACTGCTTCAGGATGATTTGTGTTATGTATATAAATACTTTTCATAAATAAATTAAAATAAATGATCACAAACAGATTACAAATATCGGAAAGCGAAGGCTACCACAAGTCTCTATCAAAATAGGGGGCTTAAACAGAGGCTGGAGGACCATCTGTCAGATGGTGTCGTAGTGCATTCCTGCACAGTCCTTTCCATTTACATTCTCCAGTTCAAAGATTAGAATTGCACCCACCAGATGATGAGACTTGAGAGCTGAATGTTGCAAGTCCCCCATGAATAGATGTCCTCTACCCCCTGCGTAAGAGTATCAGCTCTCTAAGTGCAGAGTACATTTGTCAAAATCATGAAGGTACTGTAGCTCTCTCAATGGCTGTAAGCAGTATGTTGCCCCATGACCTTCCCAAAGACACCTAGCTAATCACAGTGGGGAATCAGAAGCAATTTTTGGCTAATCTTGCAGTGCTATTACCTTCATATGAAAATGGGCTATTTCTAATACAAGGATCAGGGCTAAGAGCAGGATCCTAGGAGGTTCCTATCCCTCCTCATAAGTACCCTTCTTCCTTTAGAAGCATACCAGTCAACTTCTTGATATTCTAAAAGACTTAATCCTCCTTCTTTATTAACTGGGGAAAATAGATTCATATATTCAAGGGGAAAGTCCTGTTCTCAGAACAAAGCATTTCGTTGATCACATTCTCTGTGTGTAAACATGTGTGCCTGTTTATGGGATTTCAGAACCCGTTGTATGGCACTCTTGACATGGACACACTCTAATTTGCCAGTTATTACACCTATGCTCAAGCACACTTTGTATCATCTTGCAGGATTTTATCCTCAAATGGTGAAACATCAGACAACTTCATGCTGCTGTTCCTCATCGTTACAGATCCTTCTTATTTTCATCCCTGAGCTTCTTTGCCCCATAAATCTATATCTATATCTTATAAGCTTGTCTTTCATTTATGTAGTTCCACAAAGTGCTGTCTATGATGCTATAATTAATAAATCGATCATTATACAGTTCTTATCAAAATAAAATAGCAGTCTAGAGCATCAAATAGGAAACACAAATGACATGCTGGACTTCACAATGGGACAGGTTGATTTTAAATATACAGGTAGCCCTTGCTTAAGGACCACAATAGGAACCGGAAAATTGGTTGTTAAGTGGGGCAGTCATTAGGCAAGTCACATGACCAGACCCAATTTTGCAACCATTTTTACAACGGTCATTAAGTGAATCACCATGATCATTAAGCAAATCTCGTGGTTGTTAAGTGAATCCCAGCATCCCCAATTTACTTTTTTGCCAGAATTCACTTAACGATCACATGATTCACTTAATGACTACTTGATTCGCTTAATATCATCGTAAAAAGGGTCACGAATCATGATCATGTGACTCTGGGGGATGACAATTTGCAATGGTTATAAGTGTGAGTACAGGTTGTAAAGCACTTTTTCTGAGGTTGTCATAACTTTGAACCATTGTTAAGTGGATGGTCGTTAAGTAAGGACTACCTGTACTTGAAAATCTTAATGTCTTTTATGTGGCTTTTCTACAATTTAGTACATATAGTCCCAACTAGTTCTACTATTTTGTAAACAAGCTGTTCACTGCTTATCTTTCTTGTCTTTTTAATTCTCTGCTAGCCATTCAGAGTTGCAATCTGAGAGTTGGGTGACCATAAAAACTGCATGAAAATAAACAAACAAATACAATACATGTGATGTACCTGTTCAGTGAAAATGTTCCATGAACACTGATGCAATGAACCTTTGGCTCCAAAAACTCCACAGTGAATTGTTCGTATGGGATCAAGTACGCTTTGTACTAAAGACAGGGAGGAAGGAAAAAGGATGGAAAGGAGAAGATGATTTATGCTTTCCTTTCCAGTACAAAAATCAAAGAGCTGATCTAGACATGATGCTGAATACATATTTGGAAAAAAAAATGCGTAACATTGCTACATTTATTCAAAGGAAAAAGGGCACCTATTGGCAAAGCAGAGTGTGCCGTAAACAGAAATATCTCTTTCTTTGACCTGCAACAGACCCTCGGGAAAGATGGTGGGGGAGAAGGATCCCAACAAAGAAGCTGATTAGTCATTCTCTGACTGCCATGGCAACATGTTCTCTAAGCTGTATATATCCCCCAGACTTTTTTTTTTTTGGAGGGGGGGATAAGAAACCTTCCAAGAAAAAAAAAAGCCAGTGACCTCTTTTTAATTTTGTTCACTGTATGAAGATCAAGTGAAGCAGAGAACAAGTAGCTGCATCTGTTGGTTTGCTCGTTTTCACCACACACAGAAGCACAGAGCCAGTTGCAAAAGGAGAAGAAGAAAAGCAGCCACCTGATTCATTCACTTAAAATGCTGTCTGTTGCGCCACTTAGAAAGTTAATGCTTTCTGTTGCCCAGCAAAACATCTAAAGCAAGAACCCACAAAGTGAGTGAATGTAACAGGGGCCGCCTCTCCTTCCCATTATTTGCCAAACTGCAATCTCTGCAATTCTACGAGAGAGACTTCACAGTTCCTATGAGCAGACTACACGTTGTTGCCTAATATCCATCCATAGTGAACCTCATACTGACTCTTAATTACATCCATCAATGGCTCCCATATAATCCAGATGTATTGCTTTAGATAATGATCAGCAATTCATTCTAATAAATAAGTCATCGGCAGGGAGCTTTTGTCTTTACAGGTAGTCCTTGTTTAGCGGCCAGATTGGGACTAGCAACTCAGTCGCTAAGTGAAACTGTGACTGTGCTTACAATCTTCCTTCAGCTTTCCTTTGCTTTACAGACTTGCAAAAGTCATAAATGTGAGGACTGGCTGCAAAGTTACTTCTTCATCACCATTACAACAGTCACTAAATGAGGATTTGTTGTTGTTGTTGTTCAGTCCTTAAGTCGC